CCTTACGTGGTCTCATCCCACAGTACCTCTCTGAGCTGATTTCTATCTATTCACCAGCCCGGCGCCTCAGATCAGCTGATCAGCTGCTTCTGGAGGCTCCGAGGTCTCGGCGGACGTTCAGAGCGGACTTTGCAGTCGCAGCTCTGGAACTGTTTGCCGCTGCTCGTTAGAGAAACACCATCACTGTCCGTTTTCACAACCCGTCTGAAAACTCATTTTTATGCCTTGGCCTTCGACCCGGCATGAGACTCCTGTTTTATTGTTTTTACTGCTCTTATTGTCCTTTAATGATTTTATTATAGTTTTATTGCATTTTAGATGTTTTAAATTGTTTTATATTTTGTGTTCAGCACTTTGTTTCGACTTTTGTTGCGTCAAAGTGTTTTATAGATAAAGTTGAGTTGATTCCAAGAACAACTTTTGCCCGTTTAGAGTCACGGTTGGCCGACCGTTATGGCTCGCGAGCCAAGCGTCGCTCATCTTTGGCAGATTATCAGCGGGTTTGTTTGTTTTGTAAATTACCCGATCACTGAGTTATTCACACACTGTCTGATGTTATTTAGGGCACAACATAGAGAATCGCTTTGTTGCAGAGCATGTTGTCACTCATAGCTGAACTGCTCAGCTAGTTAATCATGATAAATTAATCTTCCGTAAACCCTCAGATTAAAGGAAGTAGCTTTTATTGGTGGGGCGGCTTTTCGTACCGACAAAGGTGAAATTTTGCTGAAGCAAAACCCTAAAGCTCCGTTTGAATAAACAGTTCTTGGCCTTGAAAGAAACCGTCCCTTAGATCTTGTGAAAACATTCCCATTTTGGCTTTAAACCCACATTTTTCTCTAGCGTTGCCGACTGAAGCCCACTTATCCTGGATGTAGTCGTAATTCTGTCCTGGACCGAGGGGATGATGATAAATGGGCAGCGCTCTAATGCCAAATCTGTTGTGAAGTAGGACAGGTAGTTTCACCTTTGGCTTTAAATAACCATGAAAGACATTTCCTGTTTTCTGCCATTTTAAGCTTTAAAAACTTTTATTTAATAAAGCAAATAATCACCAAAAGGTTAACCTTCTGAATCCTTAAACCTGCCGGCATTTTTTCAGTAAAAAAAAAAGCCAGATTGCACCTTTAATCTGAGGCAGAAACTGTAATAACAGAAAGAATTGTGGGATGTTCAAACTCTGCCTGAACTAATCGTGTGTGGCGTGCACCTCCATTGGGAACATTTATCGACTCTAAACCGCGAAGGCTCAATAAATTTAGTTATGGAGACGCCACCTGTCAGCAAGTTGTTGGAAGAAACAACCAGCATGTTGAAATATCCTTCTGGAGCTGATACTCGGAGCAGTGTAAGAACGCCTTGTTTTTAGTGGTTGTTCAAATGTAGATGATAAAATATCTGTTGTATGTAGCTACAGTTATTTCTTGGTAACGTATATATATCAACTTCTGTTTATTTTAGTGGCACTATAATCGTGTCATACTGCACGAAAGACGTTTTTGATTTCTCTCTTCTTCAAGTCACGGCTGTTGTGTTTCTATAGAGTTGCATGACTTTGTATTGCAGTGAAAAATAAGTCTATAGTGAGTAAACCCTAAACCTACTTTTCATTCATTTGATTGCATACGAAGGAACAAAAAGGCCTCCGATCACTGTTTTATTCAGTTTAGTTAAAGTCTTGTTGGAGGTTTTTTTGTAGGTTAATCGTAGCAATTAGACTTGCTTGAGTTCCTTGAAGACGTTCCACCTCTCATCCAAGAGGCTTCATCAGTTCTGACTGACTAGTTGGGAGTTCCAGATACTTGTATTCTTAAGGAGCAAGGGAGGATAGATGGTTAGAGAGAGGAGTGAAAGAAGCCATCCATGTCAAACTGGAAAGACCATCCCTCAACAGAGTTGGAGGTCTGAGGCATCACCTCTCACCTGTTTACAGTTCAGTCCTAAAATCTCACCCCAGGAAGATGAAACCACATCCACACCTAGACACAGAAGACCCTAACGAACCCCATTGTGGCAAGAGGAGCACTAACGACCCGCATAACGAGGGGAAGGAGCAACAAACCCCCAACTGAAACCAAAACTCAGGTGCTAATGGCTCGTTAAGGATATAAATTGGGAAGCCTCTTGGATGAGAGGTGAACCGTCTTCAAGGAACTCAAGCAAGTCCAGTTGCTACGATTAATCTACGAGAACAACCATGACCTGGATGACTAAGAATCTTCACAGACTTGTGGGTAGTGGTGGATTTTCCATTAACAAAAGCTATAAAGTCTTCAAATAGGTATTTTATAGCACAGATCTTCGGAATCCTGCTGTAAAACCATAGAGTAGATAACGTAGACAGGGGCACATCACATCTGGCTTTTCTTCTTTGACATTTTGACCCTTTCTGGTGTTTGTAGCAGCAAAAGTCATCCTGAGGAATGACTAAATAATGAAGTCCAGACTATATGGCGTCGATTAAGAATTGACACCAAAAGTTTTGAGGTACTTTTCCATCGTGATGGAGTCGGTTTGTAAATATGTTTGGCCAAGGTTGAAGATGCAAACACTCTGGACTCAGATCAAACAGCAGCAGACTAAATAAAGGAAGTTCATGTCCTGTGTTTGTCCGACCAGTCACAGCACAGCAGACTGTTAAATGAGTTTATAACATGGGTGTGAAATCCACATCTCATGTTGACATTTTCAGAGTTGACCTGATAAAGTAGGAAAGGAGTGGCTCAGACTAAAGCCTTTTAAAGACAGGTGTGTTTGATGTAGTGACCCATTTGATTGCTTAGAAACATGCATAATGTGTGCTGACAATGCAGCTGTAGTTAGTTATTGCTACTGTAGTGATATATAGGTACACTATAGATATTCCTGTGTTAATAATAGACATAAATATCTAACTTGTTACAGGGAAAAGTGAATTTCCCAGCCACAAACACACAGCGTGACTGCAGATTGTATTGTGCGGTCAACTTTTACATTTGTGAACAATAGGCTTCCTTCCTCTGGCCTATTTTTTTTCCCCTACTGCTCCCCAAGCCGTTCCTCAAAATCGCTTATCGTCGCCAACAGTTTGGTCATGTTGATCCAATTGCTCGATTTACCAGGTCTTATAAGATTAAAGGGTGTTTTCCGAAAAAACAACACTTCCTGTTTCTTTCACTATTTCGTGACTCAACTGTTCTTCTTTTAAAATAACAAAAAAAAAACCCTTTTGGCAATGTTCAAACAATGCAGAGAAGGGAAAGTATTACAGTTGGTGTCATGCTTCATGTTCATGCATCGAGATAACCTGCTGACGATATACCTGCCGTGTGTGTGTCTAACAAGTTTGTAATCTCACACCTGCTTTTCCTCCGACTTTACACCATTTTTACACAACATTTTTGTTGAAATCTCAAGTCCCTGTAACTTTAGATTCCTTGGTGAATGTACAAAGCCTTGTCTTCGCATTTGTTTGCAATAAGGGGTTGAGGTTGTTCCGACCCGCCCTCTCTGATCTGAATGCAGCTGAATTCACAATGCAGTTGTTCTAATTTTCCCATTTCTGTTGTTAAATGTCAACCAGTTGTCTTTTACCAAGGTGGTGTGTTGTGTGTCAGGTTATACACTCAAATTGTTAATGGTCACAATTGAATTTTTTTTCTTAAATTCAGCTAAGAACAAGACGTTATTGGGCTTGTTTGAGCAGTTTTCTCACAAATTCGGCCTGGAGTCGTATGTAGAAGTGCTATTTGTCTGTCTTTAGCAGTGAGGTGCAGTCCTTTCGTTGCTCATGCAAGGCTCAAAGATCTACGCGATATAGAAGTGTGTTTGTTGGTGGATTTCCCAATGTTTAAAGTGTAGGTGGCTGTTAAAAAGTAAGATATGTAGTGGAAAGGGGAAAAAGGAAAGCAAGGAATGTCACCGTGAAATTCCAATATACGAGGTGTGTCAGAGAAGATAGATTTCAAACCCCTTCAGATGATCAACCAGCACATCTACAAAGAGATCCTACAGCGTTTGCTTGGTTCAGTGAAGAGGCGAGAGTTGTGGCAGGACCAGTCGTGGCTGCTTCACCATGGCAACAACGCCCTGAGCATCCGACAGTTCCTGGCTGAGAAAAAAACATGGCCGTGCTGGAGCAACCTCCCTACTCACCCCACCTGGCTCCGTGGGATTGTTTCCTCTTCCCCGAGCTCAAGGAGGTCATCAAGGGGACCCGCTTTGAAGACGTGGACGACATCAAGATGGCTGTGACGACGGAGCTGAGGAGGATCCTGGAGGAATCCTTCCAGGAGTGCATGGCGGCGTGAAGGCTGGGAAGTGTGTTAGAAATTACTTCAAAGGGGGGGTTTGTAGTTTGGATTTGAAATGTATATTTTGTGACACCAGTCCTGGATGTTTTCTGACACACCTCGTACTGTAATCGTTTGCTTCCTGTCTACAGTGTTGTTTGCAGATTAAAGTTTGTTTATTAAAAGCATTAATTGTGTGTTGGTTTGCGAGCAGCTCTGTGAGACTGCAGTGATCTTGCGATAGAAGCTAATGTCGCCACAGCAATCTACTAACAATGACCGTGTCGACATGCTGATGTTAGCAGTGTTATGTTAAGAGTCCTGGGGTCATGAGAACGTGTGTGAAAGTGATCCCAGACGCTGATTGCTTAATGAGCTGTTGCTGTAGTAAACCAAATGCTATATGTGTTCCTAGTATTTACAGAAAAGCGCTACGTTTGTTTGTTTTTTGCTGGCGTGTAAAGAAGCGTGTTACATCAGCACCAACCGCCAAGCAAGCTGAAATTGCAGTGAACATGTTGCGAGCTCTTTTGAAGACACCTTAAATCTGCCTTTCCACTCCTACCAGTGCAAAATGCCTTCAGTGTGGTGACTTCTTATCAAAACTGGTTTTCTTGTTTTTGTGCCAGAAATGAAGCAAATGTGAACGGTCTTTCCTTTGGCTTCATGCCAACATCTCTGCATGTAATGTCAGTGAAAGTCTAAAGTCTGTGTTTCTCTGTCTCTCAGGTTCAAACTCAGGCCCTCAGCTCTCTGGCTGTTGCCCAGGCGCTGGCGGATGACGTGGACTGCCATGTGTTCCCCTTCAGAGAGTTCGGAAAAGGACGGATCAAGAAGTGTCGGATCAGCCCCGACGCGTTCATCCAGATCAGCCTGCAGCTGGCGTACTACAGGGTAACGGCGTGATGCGTGCAAACACAAAATCGTGATAAGAAATGTTGTATCAGATTTCAATCCAGAAACCTGATAAGTCTGAAAACTGCAAAGCCAGCTGTAACCTTAGACAAAGAAACAGCAGGCATGGTGAAAACAGAACAACTTAGTTTAACGTTTTCCTGCACATACTTTGATTCCTGTTGACTGATTGCCAATAGAGATGTTGATGGTTGATTGTCGGCCAGTTGTGCACCTTCATTCATGATGACAGTGGTGCATTGAAAGTACTGGAAGGGAAAGAATCATGGAAGGAGTTGCATTTACATAACCTCATTAAAACCAATGAGAAATCAGGCTCTTTGCATCTTGAGGAAGGATGTTTCACACGTTTGTCTACAGATATCAGATGTCACTATGTTTAAAACTCTTCCATGTTTGCATGTGCTGTACTTTATTGTCACTTTCTTCTGGTGCGTTACAGCATAATACACAGAAACATATACAGCTACAGATTAATAAAATGCTGGCTGGAATAAAATGCTGCGTGTTCTCGACCAATCAGAATAGTGCTGCAAGTCTCACCCCCAAAAACCCAGTCAGGGACTAATTTCCCGTAATTTAGACCCCTCAGAGGTTTCCACTAACTTCCTGTTGTGAAGAAACTCTTTACAAACTAATTTGAGATAAAGTACTATTTGCTCTGTACCATGTCCAGGTACGACTACCTGCAGCTCTCCCGCTGGCCAGGCGTTAATGTTCAGTTATAAAATGTGCACTAAATCCGACATGTACAGTTCCTAAAGCCGACTTTACAACAAAGTGCTACCACATGTGGCTGCTGCTTTTGAGGCGGATGAGCTGACACTCGCTCTGCCTTGGGACTGTTACGTCTTCCCTCTAATTGAATTCAGATGCTCTTCTCTAACCAAATACTGCTTCTGTTACTGATTTATGCAGCTGTGTTCCTACAGTCTCAGAATGTAGGATGTCACTCGTACACGCTTGACACACTTACGGCCAGAAGTTGTCTCTGGCTGAGCACCTTCTATATGCACAGATCAGATTTGCATTCATTGCCCCGTTATATTATCTGCACTGGTTGGAGCAGTACAGACTTATATACTAACTGGTTATGCTCACAGATATAAAACATATTTTTGCTGGTTTGTAGACCTGACTAAGCCTTTAACAAGCCAAGAAGAGATAAATTCAGGTGTTTTCCCCTGCACATCTTTTGTAGTGTTCGCTGTCCTTCCAGGGCTGGGTGGTACAACCTAAAACCTACTGTAATGTGTAATCACATGTTGTTTTACGTCAGTTTGTGCTGGTTCTCTTCTCCTGTTCTCCAGTCTTATGTAGAAACTCAACAACTGCGCCTGGATGTGAAAGGAAATGCTATGTGCACTAATAATCCACATAAAGACGTCCAAATGTCAACGCGTTGGTCTCTGTTGTTAATACAGACTGAATTGCAGTCGAATTTATTGATTTACAAGTAAATAGATTCTCCTACTACAAGATAACTGTGAATACTTGTTTACAGAAGTTTTGGTCATTATCAACTGTTTGGATGGTGTGTGCAGTCGTGACTCGATAATCCGACCTTTAACAATCCTAAACCTTTCTGTCCAACAGGTTTTTAGGAAAAAAACAAATGGAATCCTTAAAAAAACAGCCTTAACAAACCGACAGCCTGGATTCTGACTCCGACATGACATTTTATGTCACCAATCAGGATAACGGCGGATTATCTGACTGAACAATCCCACAGATTGGCTACGTTCACACTGCAGGACTTGATGCTCAATTCCGACATTTTTGTGATTTTTTTTTTTTTGCGAGTTCGTTCACATTTCCAATTAAATGCGACTTGTATGTGATCTGCTGTGTGAACTTCATACAACCCAAAAGTGTCCCGCATGCACAGAAGTGTGACGGCTATCCTCGACTAGCATCAGCAGCCAAGTACTGCCTGTGCGTTCCGGCCACTTCCATCCCATCAGAGCGCTCCTACGGGGTGGAAGTGCCCCTCGATTGCGCCGAATACTCGTATATTCATCATTAATTGGGCCTGAATATCCAGAGACCAGAAAGTGCTGTTGGGACCAGCCCTCCTAGTTATTATAAGAACTATGAACAATGAATATTAACAACAAATGAGCCTTCCAGCATCAAGCCCTCCTTGTATCTCGACCTCCGTCTTGACAATCCGACATAAAAGAAGGTTTTATATTTAGTGTTGGATCATCGAGTCACGAGTGCTTTCCTGTTACCTGAACTCTGCCTTCCTTTCTATTCAGCTGTCTTTTGAGAAGCGTTTATTTATTTATTCTTTTTATATTTGTGTATTTGTAATGTCCGCCTGGAAACTTTTCCTCAAGCATGTTTCCTGGACAAATCTCTGTGGCCATTTTCTTCTTGTCTTTCCTGTTTATCTTCATGTCTGTTTCTGTTATCCCCCCTGATTTCTTGCCTTCCTTTGATTTAATTGCCCTTCATCTTCAGTGCGTCTCTACTCCTGTCTGACCTGACTGACTCAGAGTTTAACAAGTCTGATTCGTCTGTCGTCAGAAATGTCTGCTGAGGCAGCCAGCAAATATTCACAAGCCCCAAGTTTCCATCTGTTTTATATTTCTACTGTCTTACTTACCCCCCCCCTCCTCCTCATTCTTTTGTGTCTCCAGGATCGCTGTGGTTTCTGTCTAACCTACGAGGCATCGATGACCCGTCTGTTCAGGGAGGGCCGGACGGAGACCGTGCGATCCTGCTCCAACGAGAGCTCTGCCTTCATCAAAGCTCTGGAGGCTGGAGAGGTACTCACAAACAACTTGATAATGCTGTCTGTATAAAATCAACATGCTCCTTGTCGCAGCCTGCTTTTCACGTGAGACAGCCTTCCTCAGGATTTGTCTCATGCCATTCGATCCCAAACCAAATCAGATGAAGCATGTACAGGTCCATAAACATTCCAGAGTGCAAAACACACACACCTGCCCAGAGTCTTTCTTGTACTGTTTGATTTTACCTTTTGCTCTACAGTTTAACATCTATTACAGACTAGAATGCCTGTAAGACCCAATGAAGAGTCTGTAACAGATTAGTTTCATGTGACACGAGGAGCCACTGGATGTAAACATTAACAGGAGCTCACTGCTGAGTCTGCCGTCTGAGTTTATTGAATCTCTTCCAACAGCTGCAAGATTTATGTTTGCGTCTTTAAAGGGAGGCAGCTGTACACGGTAACGCATTACGACAGTGTTTAATCATTAATCCCAGACGCAGACTGGGTGGGTCAGGATCAAACAGCACGCCGCACTCCACTTTTGTCTGCACCTCAAACAGCTCAATCATTTGTGATGTAGCAGCCGTCGTCAGGTTGGGTCCTAAGCTTTGATCAGAAGTATCAGAAAACTTTTAATTTTACTCGGTAAACTTTAGATGTGGTCACTCCTTTACCCTTTATCAAGCAAGGAGCCATTTATGGTAACTTCTACAGCAGGGATGGGCAATCCTGGTCCTCGAGGGTCACAGTCCTGCATGTTTTAGATGTTTCCCTCTTCTATCACACCTGATTCAAATGATCAGCTCATCGTCAAGCTCTGCAGGAGCCTGGTAACGATCCTGATCATTTGAATCAGGTGTGTTGGAAGAGGGACACATCTAAAACATGCAGGATTTTGGCTCTCGAGGACCAGGATTGCCCACCCCTGTTCTACAGGCTTTGAAATGGCAGGGGGCAGAATCACATGACTTCATTCAGCCAATCAACGAAGGTCAGGCTACATCACAACAAAGTCTCTGTGGCCTCTGACCAATCACGAGTTTTTGTGTGTATTTATTTTTATTTATTTATTTTACAGTTATTTATCCACATATTAGTTGGATTTTCTTTTTTTTTTACCCTTGGTGGGTGAGAAAAGGCATCTGATAACTGCTTTGACTTTGATTTGCAGCCTAAATCTAAAACTTTTTTGAAAAGTCAAAAAATGAAAAATGTCCTCTTATATCCACCAATTTTCAAGTATTTCAACGAGTGTCCTATAAAGAGTTAAAGTGCCAAAAAATGAAAATGAGTTTGTTATTAGTGTGTTTTCTGTCGTTCTGTGTTGTTTAATATCTGCAACTTTGCCGTTTCTTGCTTATTTCTTTATAAGCTGCGATAAGGAATGTGATGAAAATGTGATGGGCTTTGACAGGGAGAGGAGAAATGCAGACGTCTCTTCCGACTGGCTTCTGAGAAGCACCAGAACCTTTACAGGATGGCCATGACCGGAGCGGGAATTGACAGGCACCTGTTCTGCCTCTATGTGGTGTCTAAATACTTGGGGGTGGACTCGCCTTTTCTCAAAGAGGTAAACGCAGACACAAACTAAGTGTCCACGTCTTTTTGAATCAGTCCCATTAGCTTAAGAACGCCACAGCTCCGCTCACATGATAGCCCCAAAGAACATCTGTAGAATCTGTATTAAGTGATGATTGGAGAGGAGGAGTCCAAATCCTAAAATCACAAGAGAGAGAGTCATTCTGATAATTCATTATTCCCTTTGACTGGACAGATCTGTCTTTTGTCCCTCACCTGCAGGTTTTGTCTGAGCCTTGGCGCCTGTCGACCAGTCAGACCCCCGTTCAGCAGATGGAGCTGTTCGATCTGAAGAACCACCCGGACTACATATCACTCGGTGGAGGATTCGGACCCGTGAGTAGCACTTTCCTCGAGTTCACAACACACGCACACATTTGTAACACTGCAACACTTTATTGTTGTTTTTAAATTGTTTATTCTGTTCTTATTGGCTTGTTTTATTTATTTTTAATGTATCGTCTTTTTCGGGGGATTGAACAGAGTAAGAATTTCATTGTGTAGTACAACTACCTGTTTTGCTGTGCATATGACAATAAAAAAAAAAAACAAAAAAAAAAACTCTTGAAACTCTTGAACTCTTGAAATGTCAGCGGTGCTTGGTTTTATATTGTGATGTAATTTAGGAGCTGCAAGGTGGCTCGGTGGTTAGCATCGTCGCCTCTCAGCTAGAAGAGCGCCGCCCGGGATCTTTCTGCGAGGAGTTTGCATGTTCTCCTCGTGCAGCGTGGGTTCTCTCCGGGTTCTCAGGCTTCCTCCCACACAGTCCAAAAGCATGTTGAGGTTAATTGGTGATTCTAAATTGTCCGTAGGTGTGAATGTGAGTGTGCTTGGTTGTCTGTCTCTAAGTGTAGCCCTGTGATAGGCTGGTGACCTGTCAGTCAGCTGGGATAGACTCCAGTCCCCCACGACCCTAGTGAGGATTAAGCGGTGTGTAGATAATGAATGGATGGATGGATGGATGGATGGTGTAATTTAACAGCCGGTGTCTCTTATGATCTCCGTCCCGTCAGGTTGCTGATGACGGCTACGGGGTTTCCTACATCATTGTGGGTGAGGACATGATCAACTTCCACGTGTCGTCCAAGCACTCCTTCAGTGAGACTGTAAGTAAAGCCTTTGTCACTGTCCCTACTTTTTAGAAAGGGTACTGATGAGTGAATTAAAACAATATCAGACAGAGATATTCAAGTGAATGTATCAGTTATGAAGTGGAGAAGGTGAAATCATTTTCAGTTACCTTCGGTCCTAATTAATGCACATCTGTGACGGTCAGCTAATGTCCAGTCTGACTGGGATTGTGAAAAACATGAAAGTTCTTCACAACTACATTGAGGACAACAGGGATATCAGTGTCTCCTGAACTGTCGCTGACTTATAAATGATGCAATGATGTGGAAATCCTTTTTTGTTATGTGGAAGCATTTCACAAAAAGTGACAGCATGCTTCTCAACTCCCAGTCAAGCGATGACATCCTGCACTTCCTGTGTGGTTCACATGTTCTGCGGAAACATGCTAACAAGCTATAAATGTCTTGAAGCAACAGAAAACCTCTCCATCAGGTTGTAGCTTCTACTGAAGACCGGTTTTACGCATGATTCATTGTTCTGAGCCGATGCTTATTTAGCGGATTACCAGTGAAACTTGATAGTCTTGTGCCTGAATAACCCATTTGTACTTCTAAAGGGCTTCTGTTTTAAAACACACACATTCAGGAAAGTAAGGAGACATTAGTGAGAACGACCAACAACAGAGCTTTAATGTCCTGTGAAGTCCCTTTATTCTTCGACTGAAGTTTCGCTTTCACTGTTTACTTTGGCTGGTCGCTGGCTGTTTGGTTCAGGTTCAGGAGCATGTCACGTTTCGGTCGACACCGTAACAATGTTTATGAACTTACAAAGCTTGGTTAACCAAAACTGCTCGGTTAGGTTTAGGAGAATAGTGCAGATTGGGTTCATGTATGAGAAATTTCACAACGTTTCTCCTTAATTTATTTGGACACCACCTCTTCCCATCTAATATATGTAGAGCAGTACAATCAATGGCAAAAAACATGTTGATTAGAAATGTCTCAAGCTACAGTAAGCCAGGAGAAAGTGCCTCAGAACATAACTGAGAATGCCGTTTAGTTGTGTCGAAAGTGGATTTTTCGGGGAGATGCTGTCAGACTTGTTTCGACACGTTCGTACCCACGTCGGTGTATCTGTGCAGTGACTCAACGCCACAGCTTGTAATTACAAAAACCTACAGAGCATGCAGATGATATTAACACGATCAATCAAAATAAACAAAAACAGTGGAGGACTGCTACTTTTTAATCATTCAGGCTTAATGCTTAACCCACGCAGCTTTATCATTTACAAAAGAAATTCCAGTGAATCACAGTAAGTAAGTAAGTAGTGTCTAGCTTTCAAGACGTCAGCTTTCATTTGTTCTTAAACCACAAAACACATGACAGGACAGACGAGACTGTCACTCGTTGTTTTCACTTCCTTTCTCGCTATCTTTTTTTTTTTTTTTACTGTCGAATCATTCAGAGATTCTGAGAGAAAAGAGGGAATTTTTATGGTTGGTTTATTTAAAGGTTTATGCAAAAAACGAAAAAAAAGCTGCCATACTGACTCTCAAATCAGCTTTCTTCTCAAAAATGTAATCATCAGAGGTCGTTAACTTCTGCTCTCTGTCAATGTGGTTTTGGATTGTCTTCCCTTTTTCGATTTCTCCTCACAACACTTGTTATTAACTCCACATTATTATTTATTTATTTTCTTCCAGGACTCTCACAGGTTTGGAGCTCAGATAAGCAAAGCTCTCCAAGACATCATGACGCTCCTCTCAGCTGACACCAAAACACCTTCCAAAGGCGCCGCTCAGTCTCAGTCCAAGAAGCTGCTTTAAACGCAGCTGCACAGATATTTCCCCCCCCGAGGGCCCGTCATCCTGAACGCATGGTGGCAAAAGCACAACAAGACAGAAACGGTGAAACTAAATCAAAGGGAAATCTCAGCCAACTTAGCTATTGACTCGCACTGAAGAAGCAAAGATCCCCTAAATGCCAGACAAGTGATCTGCGGTTCTCACCTTCCATTAGACCACACACAAAAACAATCAACAGCTCCACCGGTCACACGGCTGCCACGCCTCGACTCAATCTTATGAGCTGCATTCTTTAATTTAAAAAAAAAGCATTAAGTTCAAAGCCGTCTCAGCATGGCTGGGCTCGAACAAACCCGCTTAAAACAACACCTTTTGTTTTATTTTTGCTCTAGTTTTTAGTTTGGTTTTTTTTGTACATAGTTTTGCTGCAAAATGCTTCTAATCCCTACTTTCTCTGAGAATATGAAACCCCTGACGGGCGATTTTTAAGAAAAATGGGAGGAAGGAAGTGTTTAAAAAGGAAGTCTTTTAAGAAGGAGAGAAAGACAAACGAATCTCTTGACAGTAAGTGAGAAGCATTAAGAGGCTCTAAATCTCAATAAAAGCAAAAGCACTCGACGGTGCATGTTGTAGGTCTTCGCTGAAAGCCAGCGGAGAGAAGAAGGCAAAAAGGGAGGTCCAACCGAATTAGACCCACTTATTTATTGTCATTTAACGTATCCGATGGGACTGGAGGTTTACAAGCTAGACAATGAAAGTCTCCGTTTAATCTTTGAGAATAACTGCTTCAAGATGTTCATCACCTGATCTCTGGATGAGCAGCCTGAATCAACAGGGAACTTTTAGGTCAGTTTTTAATGTCAAGATGGTTCAGCTGTTGTTACGAGTACAATAAACTACATGCGCAGTTATTTTACTCCTGTAATCCAGGAAAACGTATCCCCCCACCTACTTATATACATGTTGAAACTTTCTCTCAAAATAAATTCTAGGTGCCAAAACAAACGATCTGTAATCTGTAGGTCGATTGCTTCCACGACCTTTGCTGGTGGTGTTTGTGGAACAGCGTTAAAACTACCCTGCAGACCGGTACCGGTGTGGCAGGATTCCACAGCGCTGTCAAGAATGAAAAAAACGTGACACGGTTTAAGCAGGATTTAACTGGCAGCTGGTTGCAAACTGTCGGTCCACAAAGTAGAGGTGGCGATCTTGGAGATGTTACCGACGATACAGCAGCAATCGACATCCTGCAAGACAACAATCTGCGATGCATCGTGATGTCTGTGTTTGGTTCAAACAAGCAAAAAGCTGGAACTCTGTCTATTGGACTGTTTCTGGTGGATTAATCGTAGCAGCTGGATTTGCTTGAGTTCCTTGAAGACCTCTTCATCAGTTCTGACTGACTAGTTGGGAGTTCCAGAAACTTACTTGCTGGCTCCTTAAGGATGTAGGTATGTGGAACTCCCAACTAGTCAGTCAGAACTGATGAAGCCTCTTGGATGAAACGTCTTCAAGGAACTCAAGCAAGTCCAGTTGCTACGATTAATCCACGAGAACAACCAGGACCTGGATGACTGGGAATCTTCACAGACACGTTTCTATTGGACGTTCAGTCAGTGTCAGTTTCTTCTTCACTGCGAGCCAGTTAACTTAGTTTAATAAGCGCCGCCACAAGGAGTCAATATTTGGTGCCAGTATATTATTGATGTATCACAAAAGGAAGCGCTATGAGACGTATCGGCATTATTGTATTCTGTCCCACTCCTACTTCAAAGCATCCAGTCACTGCAGGTTTTTTTTTTTTTTTACATATAAAGAAGCATAAACTACCTGCACAGAGTTCTTGAGTAAATTTCAACATCGCACCACTTCCGTTTGAGCTGTCAAAGTGAGAAATCAGTTCTCCTCTCGGGGTTCAGCGGGGACTTTCATGAAACGGTTTGAAAGCAGAAGTGGTGACAGATGTCCTTGAACTATTGTTTCCGATGTTGGTTCAACTGGAGGCTGGACGGCTGCCAGCGCCGCGTCACGCTCAAACAATGGCCGCGAGCAATCCAGCAGCAAAGAGATGAAAGATTGAGCAGCTGCTTTTCATTCAGCTGCATCGTACGCTCGAGTTCTACTCCGAATAAATCACCAATAAGATTGTGCACACATGCGATCGCTTTTATGGGTTGTTGTCAGGGTGCGTATCGACCGGGATCAGGTGATAGCAAACGAACGCAGCACGTTATCTATAGTTATGTGTGAGCAGGAAGTACGGAGAGTAGTTCCAGTTAGAGGCATTCAAAGGGCGTTTTTTTTTTTAATTTTATTTTATTGTCAGCTCAGTGTATTGATCAATAAGATGTAGGTGTTTTATATATACTTGTGTTGATGTATGCTTCAGCTTGCCAGACACACCTGTATTTTACAGCTGTTTTACAAGCCCCCAGATAGCGTAACGCCGGGGCCGTTTTACTGAACTCAGCCTTTACAAAAGCCTGTTTGTGAGGAGCTGAAATCCCTCCCTGGGCTTTAAAAATGAACTATGACTCCAGTCAACCCGTCTAATAATAGAACGGGAACTTGGGGAAGAAATGTCTGCCAACATGTTTGGTTCAGGAGGATGGGAAAGTAAGAAGTGGCTGCAGCAGGCTCTACTTTTTTGAGGTAATTTTTTTGTGCTTCTTAGACAGTCACAGTGAAAATAAGCGTAGGGTGGTTCCCGCCCGCATGGTAAACACCCTAACCGCTCCTTTCTCGGGTCGCCCGTTTATTTCAAGATTTACAAGCATAGCTAAAAAGTCGCAGCGCACACAACGACTCCCCTCTCTCGCTTCGAAGCGTTTTAGAAACACACGTGCCTGAATTCAAGTGTTCTCTCGGTTTCAATGCAATCCTTTAATCAATGCAATTCCTGTGGGAAACCTCGCAGCATAATGTTTCTTAACCGTTGTCTGTTTGTGTGTTAGCCAGTTAGCTCCCGTTAGCATCGCCAGGACGTGTGTTCGCAGAAGAAGTCGGCCAGTAACTCCGACACAAACGAGCATCACAAGTATGTTTTTGACACATGAAATTAGCAGAATATGTTGTGTTCAGTCGTGGAAACTCCACCGCACCTCTGCTCTTAACTCCAAGAGACTGTTGGCTTCATCTTCTAGTAACCTCACACCACAGTGGCTTCTGTTCCTGCCTCAGGTGACACACCTAACGGCTCATTTTCCAAGTTGTTGTCTGCTAGAGCGACCTTTTTGATTTTGATTTTGATTTTTTAACAGTCACTCACTTACAAATCAATCGGTTTTGTACAAGATTTACAAAGAATTTTTCCTACAACTTCTCTACCTCTCTGCGCTCGTGGCTTTTCAACAGTTTCCCAACATCAAGGATCATCAGATCATCTTTAACTACTCGTTCGCTGTAACGGGAATCTTTTTAAAGAAGACTGTCAAGTCCTCTGGATTCTTTAATAAGGGCTTCTTCTGATGTTCGTGCTCTTGAGAAACTGTTTTGATCAGAGCTTCACTTAAATACTTTCAAATCTGTGCTGGACACCGCAGCCTGCCTGAACGACGTCAAACCAATCCTGTGCCTGACTCACTGTGCCACGTGTGTTGTTATAAACATAGACTAACTGATTTTATGATCGTGTCCGGGCTTTTAACAGGTTGGAAAATGAGCCTTTTAATAACAAGCCTTTAGCAGCAACTTCCTGTTAGAGCAAAATATTAACGTTAGCACGTGTTTTTCTTACTTGTTGTGATTGTTTAGATGTGGGACGCTTTCTGTTTTTATGTCTGTTCAGCCTCGAACAACTACTGTCAATGTTGTTTACTGATTTCTAGAAGATGCTAATGTTTTTGGTACGTCGTTTTTCATTCTGAAACCTATTTAAATGTAAATTGTGGACTTCGTGAAGGCCTTTAACAGATGGGTATGGTGTGTTATGTAAAATAAAGATATTTACTCACCCTACACTGTTTCTGTGCTTCATCGTTGTTGAATGTATTTACTGATCATGTAACTTATGCAGGCTGCAAGGTGGCTCGGTGGTTAGCACCGTTGCCTCACAGCAAGAAGGTCGCCGGTTCGCGTCCCACCTTGATCTTCCTGCGTGGAGTCTCCATGTTCTCCCCGTGCAGCGTGGGTTCTCTCCGGGTTCTCCGGCTTCCTCCCACACAGTCCAAAAACATGTTGAGGTTAATTGGTGATTGTAAATTGTCTGTAGGTGTGAATGTGAGTGTGCTTGGTTGTCTGTCTCTAAGTCAGGGGTCTCGAACTCCGGTCCTCGAGGGCCGCAATCCTGCAAGTTTTAGATGTTTCCTTCTTCCAACACACCTGATCCACATGATCAGGATCGTTATCAGGCTTCTGCAGAGCTTGATGCTGAGCTGATCATTTGAATCAGGTGTGTTGGAAGAAGGAAACATCTAAAACTTGCAGGATTGCGGCCCTCGAGGACCGGAGTTCGAGACCCTTGCTCTAAGTGTAGCCCTGTGATAGACTGGTGACCTGTCCAGGTGAACCTGCCTTCACCCTGAGTCAGCTGGGATAGACTCCAGCCCCCCATGACCCTAGTGAGGATGGAGCGGAGTAGAGATAATGGATGGATGGAACTTATGCAAAGACAAATATTGCCATGAGACTTTTGCTCTCTGTTCTTCTCTTTCTTTCTTTTGTCGTTAAATCGTTTCCATGGCCCAGTGACCACTGATTTACGAGGTAGATCTGCTGTAATATAGTAATCAGGTATTAATCGAATCAGTTTTTCTAATAAACAAGAATGACGATGTGAAAAGAACGTGACAGGAGTAATAAACCCAAAGAGAAATATGACCTGAAACCAGGTTGACCTAAAACAGGAAGGCCATAGAAACACACTTCCACCTGTCGTGATCCTTCAGTGTTGTCTAAGTAAGTCAAACTGTTTGAGCCACGACCCCCAAGATAACAGAAGTTTGTGTTCGTGTCCCCCCAGTTTGAATTTTTATTATCTCATGAGTCATAACTTTGTTGTTGATGCATTAGTGTGTTAAAAATTAATGTGGTAATTCCACAGATTAATCTCTTTACGTTAACACATTTTTCTTTTGAATGAATTGAATTTATTTCGAACAAATGAAAGGGAAACAATATATGAAAACAAAATAATTTTCAAAAGAGCAAAAAAGAATAATAATATTGCGTAATCAAATCATAAAGTTCAAAAAAGGAGTGAGAAGAAGTTTAGACTTTTCATTTTGACAGCTCTAATACACATTTATTTGATAAATGCAGGCTTCATTTTTTTATTTTTATTTTTTGACAATTATTTGGT